CGCAGTTGCACTCCCGCTTACTGCACACAACGTATACACTTTACTTATATCCTCATTGTACTAGATCCTTCACTACTCTGTTCTTACTTGTATAATTTTGCAAATTGTATTGTCTTTTTGTCCATCCATCGGCTGCTTGTAATGAAAAAAATCACCATACAGACTCAGGATTAATATTCTAAATAATAAAAACTCAAAAACTACAAGACTATTTTTAGTTTTGAAAATAAGAAGGACATAATGGCATCTAACTACAGCTATACGAAAAATCAATTAAACACCAATCAGAATTAATCAGAAAAAAAATGATAATAGAATTGAAAATATAATTGTTTCAAGTGTGTTAAAAACATTCTAATGAAAGATTCGACTATATGTGTGTATGTGTATGTATGTATGTTACCGCAGCGTCTGCAGCTCCTTCTCGAGCTGCGCGCGCAGCTTGCGCTCCGTGTGCTCGCGGCGGTCGGAGGCCTGCTGCAGCGAGGCCAGCGCGCGCTGCAGCCCCACCACGCGCTCCACGTACCCGCTCGCGTGCCGGCACTGCACACACACACACCATACACATACATACATTGTATAAAAGGGTAAAAAATAGAGAAAGAACGAGAGCTTGAAATTAAGAAAAAATTGTTAAATTCTCAAAGATACATTTTACTAATATTATAAACTAGCTATCGTCCGCGACTCCGTTCACGTGGAATTAAAAAATATAAAGTAAGTAGAATATCCTCTACATCTTTCTAAATATATATATTTTTATAGCTCCTTAGGTTTCAAACTCTAACAAACATCCATCTAAATTTTTGCATTTATAATATCAATAAGTAAGATGCAAGAGCTTGGATGGATATTTGTTAGGAAGCATTTCCAAAACGGCTAAACGGATCTTTATGAAATCTGCTATAGACATAGAACACAATCTAAAATAGCATTGCCTACTAAAATTATTTTAATTCCACGCGGACATTGCGGGCAACAGCTAGTCAAAGATAAGAAAATGGAACAAAACTAATTACTCCCACTTCTGAGTGTCAAAAAAGAGTCTATACGAGTCAGCCGTAGGCCACTAACTCCTTCTGACTCTCTTTTGCCTTTTATTTTTCTATTCTTTTAAGAATGACAAGGTGATGATGATGATGATGATGGGTACCTCCTCCTCGAGGCGCACGACGTTGGCCTGCGCGTTGGTGAGCGCGGTGTCGAGGATGTCGATGTGCGTGCGCTGCTCCTGCAGCGTGGCGCGCTGCGCGGACATCTCTATCTCCTGCCGCTCCTTCGCGCACGCCAGCTCCTTGTCTATAAAAAAAATGAAATCAGTAATAAAATTTACTACTAGACTTTCGTCTTTGGTACCTTTAGGGCAATTTTAAACTTTTTTTCACGTTTACATTTGTTATTTTCAATTTGAAATGTCATTTCGAATGCACAAATGACAACGAAAGCCATAACAATTGCCGTTACCATAGCAACCTTGCTTCCTTGATGTAAGTTTGAAGTTTTTGTCCCTTTCCCGCATGACAATTTTTGGCATTTTATTCACTTTTTAAATTGAATAGCTTGAAAATATATAGCCTATAGCGTGTCGTACGTATAGGGCTTTGTATAAAAGAATTATTCAAAAATATGCTATGATTGCCGACATCCTACGCTACGAATAGTGTGTTTTACGTTTTATTATATTAACTAGCTGTTCCTGAAATTATGACAATTTTATGTTAACATTTGTCAAATTATCAATTACAAATGTCAAAATGACATGACATGATGACAACCTCGCTTCCTTGATGTTGGCAGCAACTTATGGTCTCTTTCCCACATTAGGGTTTTAATCCAAAATATAAACCCCCTAAGTTTAATAGCGTTAAAATATATAGCCTAAAGCGTGAAGCAAGTGTAGGGCTTTTTATAAAAAAAAGAATTATTCAAAAATGTGGTGTAATTGCTGACATCTTAGGCAACAAAGAAGTGTGTGTTTACGTTTTATTATATTAGTATATAGTATATAGTACATAGAAGTATAGATAGATATATTATGATAATATTACTCTGAGTGATGAGCTGTGCGATGAGCATCTCCCTGTTCTGCAGCTCCTTGCGCAGCGCCTCCACGCTGCTGTCCGTCTCGCTGCGCACGCCCTGCGACACCACCTCCACCTGCACACCACATTCACAACATTACAATGAACAACACACAACAAAAAAAGAAAAAAAAACGTCACATTAAATAGATATTAATATGAGTATTGCATCAAACAATTACTCTTGATAGTGAGAAAATGGCGCTAGTGACGCACTTTAGCAGTCACTGATAATTTGCTAATCTATAGACTGTGTCCACTGATGTCTATAGATGGATAGGCTGTTGCTTGAAATTTGAAGTTCCCGACAGTTAATCCTATCGACATTATTAATTTGAATCCTTTGCATCAAACTAGTGTAAATTAAATAGGGACTGATAGCGCAATTTAAAACCTGTCTACTAATACAAGGTCAGTAACCTGTTGCTTGAGTGCCCTGTTGATGTCTTGCAGCCGGCGGCAGTCCGCCTGCAGCCGCA